TAGTTTTACTGCTGACCCTGCAATCTGAACTCCCTGTGGCACAATAATGTGAAAAAAAAATTTGCCTGTTGTAATGTACCGTAAAAAGCGTCATAAATATGAATTGCAAAAGAAACCACAGTCCTGCTCTCACATGTTCTTCACACATGCACACAGGTGTATGTATTCAGATATATGTGGATCAGATAACAATGAACAGCAGTCAGAGATTGGAGACGCAGGAGAAGGACGATCAGAAAGAAACTCTGCTGAGGTTGGTGTTCTTTATAAATTAACACACTCTAGATTTTGTCATTAATGTATATTCATCATTGATTCTTTGTGGTCACTTCATTATCAGGGTGAATTTTATTCATATTGTTTTTAACTTGTATTCAGTAAAGTCATTGTACTTACACATTGAAAGTCTTTTTATATATTTACTGAGCAACCTTTTATGAGCGAGACTCTAAATTTTCTCCATGATTTTAACTTTCTGTCTCTCTGCTCCTCTCTTAAATTCCCCCTTTTGTTCTCACTTCCTCTCCTTCTTTTCTTCAGGCCTCCATGTATTCAAACATGTCAGTCAACTCTTCCTTAGCTCACCTCTCCTCCTCCAATTCCTCCTTCCATCCTATCATGAACACATGCTCCGGTTCCAGAACGACCATCTTTGTCTTCTCTGCTTTGTCCATCACCTACACCCTCACCCTCCCAGTCTTCATCCTCATCCTCTACCTGGGTTTCCAACGGTGGAGGAAACAGCGCTCCATTTCCACGGCTGCAACAAATCACTCTGATGTCCTCACCTATCACTCCATCGTCATGCACCTGAATGAAGTCTTTGGGCTCATCTTATATTTCTGTGGCAGTTACATCAATCTTCCAGGCATTATGTCTGCAGGACTCTCTGTCTGCTCTGTCACCTCCCTCGGAACGGCTCTGTTTCACCTCCTGACCTGTGTGGAGCACTACCTGGCCGTTGTTCATCCAGTCACCTACCTGGGACTGAGACACCCAGGAGGAGTCAAGATCAGAAACATCAGCACTGGATGTGTTTGGTTACTGAGCTTTGTAGGGCTGGTTGTAAATTATCTAGTCAGCAATGAGATCAACTTCATCTTGTATTTGTGCTTCATGGTCTCCATCTTAACTTTGACATCTTTTTGCAGCATTTCTGTTCTCTGTGCTCTCAAGCGCCCAGGACCAGGGGAAGTGGGTGGGAACAAGAAGCAGGTTGACCAATCAAAGGAGAGGGCTTTCCACACAATCATGATTATATTGGGAGCGTTATTGTTCAGGTTTGGGGGGAATCTGATTGCTAGTGTTATGTACAATACAGCAGTGCCTAGTGCCAGGTGTCTGTTGTTGCTGTCTGCAGTGTGGTTGGATCTGCCAAGGAGTTTGGTGTTACCTCTGCTGTTTCTACACCGAGCAGGAAAATTACAATGTTGTAAACAAAACACTGAATCAGGCTGAGGGCAGGATTACTTGCAAGAAGTAGTTATAGGTAAGAGTAATTGTACCCATCAATGTTTTTTACGAGTCAAAAAGAGTCAAATTCATATAACATTTAAAGTTGGAACATAAATTTTACTATATTTAGTAACCAATATATGTATATGTACCATTTAAGGTTTTAATGGTAGGATAATGCCAGACATAGGGCCATGCAGAGAACACATGGGCTTGTTCTTCACTGAATTTAAAATAAGTGTATGATTAAGAACAGATATCTGCTAAGATGAGTAAGAGCCTAGTTTGGAGTGGGACCAGGGACATAGAAAATTGTGTCATATGCATAGAAATTTATTTATTTTAGCACATATTCGGAAGAACAATGTCATTTATTTAATTTAAATTAAAAAAAGATCAAGAATAGAGCCCTCAGTACCTAATTACTGATAGCATTGTCAGTACCAGCATAATGTAGCATGTTAGCATGCTAATATTCAGTGATTTGTGGTGAACACAAAGTACATGACATTAATTTTGCAGGTATTGGTTTATAAACCAAAGTACTGTAAAAAATAATGTTTTGACCTGATGACTGCACTAGATCCTCAAAGTTATTAGGTGTCAACCTTTGAACTATGATAATCCAAAATATCACAGGAATCAATCTAAAAGATTCAGAGAAACTTCAGTCCAGACCAATATCAATTTTAATGTTTAGGACTTTTTAGGATGTTTCAGTTATAAACTTATGTGGGCATTGCTCAGTATATGTGCAGTATAATATTTATCAAGTTGTACTATATTGTAGTATAATGATATTGTAGAATAATGAAGTATGACATTACTGTATTTAAATGAAGTAATAAAGGTTATAATCATTTAGTCTGTGTGGGTGTTTGTGTTTTCGGTCTACAATCTCTATTCAGATCATGTAGCACAGATGACAAACTGAGAACAGAGATAAATCGGAACAATATTCAAATAATGATGGTGCTGACCCTGCGATCTCATCTCCCGTGGCACAGTAATGTGAAAAATAAATGTACCGTAAAAAGGCGTCATAAAATATGAATTGCAAAAAAACCCACAGTCCTGCTCTCACCTGTTCTTCTCACAAACACACCTTAATCACCAGTATGTCTTCAGATATATGTGGATCAGATATTAGTGAACAGCAGTCAGAGTTTGGAGACGCAGGAGAAGAACGATCAGAAAGAAACTCTGCTGAGGTTGGTGTTCTTTATAAATAATTAGTTAAAGATGTCGTTAGAGATTCTGATTTAATATGTATTCACTGCTGATCATTTCTTAACTGATTGTCGTTACTTAATTCCCAGGGTGATTTCTTTTATTGATATTGTTAACCTGTGTTCATGTCCTCACACATTAAAATGTATATTCAGTCTTTTTATTTTTCTGTATTTAATTAGCCAAATTTGTACAACTTGGAGAAACATTATTTTAACTGAACTGAAACACTTTAAATGTCATAAAATTAACTTTTCATTATGTGAGATTTTTTATTATGTTAGAAACTTTAGTATGAAACCAATAGTGTGTGAATTGCATAATATTACAGTGTGCAAGCAGATCGCACAAGATCCCCAAACTTATTAAGTGTTATCATCTGGGATTTTAACAGTTTCAAAGGCAGAGTGAAGATGAGTAAGAGCCTAGTTTGGAATGGGACCAGGAACATATAAAATTGTCTCATCTGCATAGAAATCGACATTTTCAGCAGATCTTTAGAAGAATAATGTAATTTATGTAATGTAAGTAATAATTTATCAAGAATATACTCCTAAAGTACCTAATTACTAACCATCGGTACCAGCATAACTTAGTGTGTTAGCATGCTAATATCTACTGATTTGGGCTGAACACAAACTTAATAACATTATATAACGTTGGCCAGCTAAAAGCACAATATGACAATATGTTCTACAAGCTTTGCAGTAATGTTAGCTTTGACTTTGGACTTTGTGTTGTAGTGGTGGTGGATGTCGGTTGTTTGTAGACATTAGCAAACATTTTTTGCTGTTCTTCTCTCACACACACCCTAATCACCAGTATGTATTCAGATATATATAGAGAGAGTTTGGAGATGCAGGAAAGGGACAATCAGAAAGAAACTCTGCTGAGCTTGGTGTTCTTTATAAATAATTAAAGATGTAATTTAGAGTTTAGTTATTGTGCAATAATTTAATTTCCAGGGTGCTTCTCCTGTGCTTCTATGTTCTTAAACATTAAACTGTGTTTTTTTTATACTGTCTAAATAAGTGTTGCTAAAATTTAAGTGAATTTAAACTTGAGTCCTTGAGGCACATTATAAAAGTAAAAAGTGTTTTAATAAAGATGAGTATAATTTGTTTCTGAACTTACATAACTTAACAAGAAGACATTACTCAGTTAACCTGGAAAGGTCAACAAATGATCCAGACCCTCCATCACTAGTTTTAGTTGATGGAAGCTCTTTGGCAATTTTCTTTTTAAATTTCCAGTAAAATCCTGGAGGGACTGATTATTTTCTCCATGATTTTAACATTCTGTCTCTCTTCCTCTCCTTCTTCTCTTCAGGCCTCCATGTATACAAACATGTCAGTCAACTCTTCCTTCACTCACATCTCCTCCTCCAATTCCTCCCTCCATCCTCTCATGAACACATGCTTCGGTTCCAGGTCGACCATTTTTGTCTTCTCTGCCTTGTCCATCATATACATCCTCACCCTCCCAGTCTTCATCCTCATCCTCTACCTGGGTTTCCAATGGTGGAGGAAACAGCGCTCCATTTCCATGACTGCAACAAGTCACTCTGACGTCTTTACCTATCACTCCGTCGTCATGGACCTGAATGAAGTCTTTGGGTTCACCTTATATTTCTATGGCAGCTACATCAATCTTCCAGGCATTATGTCTGCAGGACTCTCTGTCTTCTCAGTCAACGCTCTCGGAAAGGCTCTGTTTCACCTCCTGACCTGTGTGGAGCACTACCTGACTAAAGTCCACCTTAAAATCAGTATGATTGAGAAGGGATACTTTGGAATAGAAGCAGTGATATATACAATTATGTCATCTGCATAAAAATGGACATCGCTGCATGGATTTGGAAGAATAACATAATTTATGTCCAGTGTTGGGCAAGTTACTGAAAAACAGTGATTAGTTACAGTTACTTCTCGCAAAAGAAGTTGAATTACTAAACTTATGAATCGGTTGACTGAAGCTTTGCTGCTTAAAGAGTCGTACTGTAGCCCATGTAGCCTGATAAATCCGACTGTCTTTAAAAAGGAGAGATTCACACCGCTAGTAGATAGTAATGGATCAACAATAGACCCTTGCAGCACTCTATTACTAAATGCAAGAAGGTGTGATTCAGGACCATCAGTCACAACATTCAGTCAACAGACACCATCTAGATCTAGACCAGCGGTTCTCAAATTGTGGGACAAAGAGCCACCGCAGGATGAACCAGGACTGAAACCAAGTTGAAGGCAATGTGAGTCATCTGCATCTCTCAACCAGGCTAAATTCAGTGTGTCAATAAAAGCATGTAGTAGACTATAGACACATAAAGGCTCATTTATTATTAATTGTGAATGTTTGTGATATTTTGACATTTTGAAGATGATCTTCTTAATGATGTTTAAAAAGTAACAAGGTGTGTTAGTCATACATCAGTTTCATGTGTATGAGCACAGACTACAAAGAAAAATGCAAAGCAGAGGTGTTTTTTCCCAAAGCACTCACAGGTGGTAGCTACTGTGTATTCAAATTAGAAAATAAAAACAGATTGACTGTGTGCCAAATGCAAATGTGTGTCCCTGTTGTACTGTGTGATTGGTTCATAACTGCAGAGTTCATTGATTACCAATAAATCATGTGTGAAGCAGCTTCTGAGAGCAAAGTAAATGTTTAAACCTGATTTTGATAAGGGATCTGTAAATGAGTGAAGAACACATTGCAGTCGGACCACATTTGGAGGTGATCGAGCTGAGTGAGATCAGGGGTCGTATTCATGAAGCTTTCTAGTACAAAAAGTTGCTCCTGGTGACGAAATTTCTTAAAATGATGACATTTTTACACATTATGTAATAACCAGTGCCTGAATTGGACCAAAATGATGCCAGTACTCTAATTTAACATAACCTTAAGACTAATTCATTCACATTTTCTCTCTATTTGAACAGAGACATTTTCAGCATTGTTTTCTCTGTGTTAAGCAATCACACATGGACAATAATGAGAAGTGCTGGCCCATTTCAGGTACAGGTAATAACACTGAATTATGTAATAACTTAACAAAATGTAATACATTTGAGTTATTATGTAGCAGTGGACCAATACCAATTTTTTTCCAGACCAAATACGAGTACTTACATTTGGGTATTTGCTGAGTACCGATAAAAATACTTAATAATAACAATACAGTTCTAACAATGACTATAACTAATTAAATGTCTCCAGGCTTCGTCACGCTGCTGTAAAGTGTTATCGGAGTAGTTTTATTGTAGTAGCATCCCAAAAATGTACACAGCAATATGTAATAACACCCAAATTTGGAATAAAAAGCTTTCTGTAATACCTTTCCCCCCATTTTGTGGTTATTAAAATGCAGGAGTTTCACTTTTTTTTACGATGAAAATGTAATAATATGGTGCACTATGTAATAACCAACCAATATGGATGACTTTATCGGTACAAGTTATATTTTTCACAATTAACAAAAATTAAACTTCCAGCATATTGAATTAGACTCTAGGACCTTAAAACTGTGTGAGATGAAATTAACTTAAAAGATTGTCATAGCACAGTGAATAGGGGCCTTTATATAACTTAACATTAAACAATACATTAAATAGAATAAAACAATAATTCAAACACTCACAGTTCTTTTTAAAGAAGAAAAAGTAAAATTAAAGCTCGCGATGAACAGTCCGGTTTTGTCATACGCCATGTAGACCACACATACTTCCTGTTTCCAGTCAGTGGCGCTACGAGTATAATTGAATATTGGCATGTAGATGTGTTCAAGGTGGGACTCTTATCAGACATGTGAAGTTTGGTGGAGATTGAATAAAGTGCAGTGACATAACGACAACTTCCTGTTTCATGGCGAAATGTTGAAATTTGATGCCAAGCCGCGGACAGTCTTTACATTGCACTGACCAAATTTCACGTCGGTCCGATAAATTCCTTACGAGGAGTTTGTTAACATACGTGCAAATCTCCAAAACTGACCAATAAATTCAAAATGGTCGACTTCCTATTAGGTTTGGGTCCAAGAGACTTTTTGTACATCCTGCCCCGATTTCCATACATATGGATGAAACGTGCCTCGGGGGGCGCTGTTGAGCCATTTTGTCCACCCACCCACCCACACACACACACACACACACACACACACACACTTTTGTATCGCCAACAACATGATTCTTTTGGCCTTTTTTGGGCCCCAAATGTGAAATTGGTCCAGTGTCACGTCGCAGTTTCTGCCACCAAGTGGCTCTTCATGTGTGTTTTCAGACAGTGGCTCTGAGTAAACGCTTTGTCACACAGGGTGCACTTGTACGGTCTCTCCCCGTTGTGCGTCCTCATGTGGACCGTCAAGTACGTTTTGCGAGCGCACGTTTTCCCACAAATCCCGCAAAGAAACGGCTTCTGCCCCGAGTGGACTCTCACATGGTCGTCCAGGTTAGTCTTACGTTTGAAGGACCAGCCGCAGTCCGGGCAGTGGTACGGCGTCTCTCCGGTGTGGACCCGCATGTGAATGGTCAGCGGTCCCTTGGTGGTGAATCCCTTCCCGCACTCGCCGCAGTGGTACGGCTTCTCGTTGGTGTGCGTCCTCATGTGGATCTGCAGCTGCTTGCTCGTCAGGAACATTTTGCAGCAAACGTCGCAGAGGTACGATCTCTCTCTGTCTGCGTGAATCTTCTCGTGTTGTCTCAGCGTCCCGGGGAGTTTGAAACGCCGCCCGCAAACCTGACAGCTGTGAGGTCTTTCCCCAGAGTGGGTCATCATGTGGCGGGATAACGACCTGTAATCGCTGAGGGATTTACCGCAGATGCCGCAGAGGTGCGTCTTCTTGTTGCTGTGAGTCCTGCAGTGAACCTTTAACTGTTCCTTCAGCTCAAACACTTCATAACACGTGTAACATCTGTGCAGCTTCCCGGCCTTGTGGAGTTTCTGGTGATTCTGCAGTGACACCTTCAACGCAAACGTATCGCAGCAGGCGTCACATTCGTACGGTCTCTCCCCTGAGTGCGCTGCCACGTGTTCGTTGAGGCTGAGAACGCTGAGGAAGGACTCTCCGCAGATGTGACAGTCGTCAGTTTTATGGCGACTTTGAAGATGATCCTTCAACGCCTCCTCGGACTCTGGGAGCTCGCCGCACACGCTGCAAAGATGCCCCAGATCGTCCGCGTGACTCCAGGCGTGTTTGACAAACTCCACTTCTGATCCGTGCAGAGCGCCGCAGACTTTGCAGGAGAAAGCGAAGACACCGTTCTTACCGGAACGTCTGGCTTTTTGTTTCCTCGGCTGCAGTTTGGAGTCTCGTTCTTTCAGCTCCTCGTTGCTCTTGTCCGGTTTCCAATCGTCCTCGCTGTCTCTCGCCTCTTCTTCCTGTTCATCGCTACTACCACCTTTACTCTCCGCTGCAGAGCGGGCCGCTGCTGGTTCCTCGTCATCATCATCTTTAGCTTCCTCTGTTTCAGTGTCACGTTGTGATGTCGAGCTGTTGGACACGACACCGACTCTGCTGCCTTCGACTTCCTGAACGGGGCTGCTGTGGGAAAAAAATATTTTAATTATACAGTCAGCAGTATAAACACAATCAATTACTTCTGATACCAAGTTGTAAGTCAACTGTAATGTGTCCACATACTTTTGGCCACATAAGTGCACGTTTCAACTTTTACAGTGACCGTACCGAGTTTGGTCGCCACTTGTCAACATGGCGGCGGCGGCGGCGGCGGCGGGAGAGTCTTCTGTCTGATGAATCTCTTCCCTGCCGGCCCAACGTTCCTCTCGTGTCTGGAAAAATAAACAAAAATGAACGCCTGCTTTCAGAAACCTGCGAGAGACGCCAGTGAGAATCTGTGGAACTACCTTCAGTCTGATGTAGAGCGTCGACCCCGTGACGCTGACGTTCCTGTGGAGCTCCTCCGCTGTCACCGCCTTCACCTTGAGAGGCCGTAATCTCCGTCTCTTGTCCGACATTAAGATGTCGAAACGTTTGTCGTCCGCGGAGAGCTGAGGGAAGGTGGACTTCAACAAGTCCATAAAGTCTGCCTCCTGCAGGCCTCGAGGGCACTTCAGCTTCAGCAGCGGACATTTTCTTAGAACTGACAGAGAATTCAACGATGAGGGTCGCGTGATTGGATGATTTTTAAACCAGGTGTGTGTGTGTACAGAAGATATTTACTCACCACTGTTTGAGAGGACGTCGGTCTGAGAGTCCTCCAGGATCCGGAGCCTGAGATCTACATGGTTCTGTGGTTCACGGATCTGAGGTCTGCCAGGTTTCCTCTTCTTATACTGGCCCCTGGGGGGGAAAGACCTGAAAGAGGAAGACTGGCTGCAGGTTAATTGGCCCGTCAACTTCCTCCTTTCCTGTATTTAGATATGCTACGTGCTAAGCTAATCTATGCTAAAAAGCCAACCACAATCTCATATAGACTGAGTGATGCTACCTCTGATTAGTCGAGTCTTCCTGGTTCTCTGGGCGCTCAGAGGACGCCTCATCTTCACCCTCCTCTTCCTCAGCAGTGCTGCGCTTTACACCTGGAAAACATTGAGTGAATGTAGGGGCTTTTATTTTGAAAATTTCAACAAGCAGAAATTCATACATAAACAGATATACTTATTATTATTATTATTATTATTATTAATAATACATGTTGTGCCTCTAAAATATGATTTGTTGTTAACGACTGTATGGAGAGCGCATGTGCCAGACTCCCTTAACAAAATCAGCTATTTAAATTTCTCTCACCCAGAGTTAAAATATAAATGTGAGGAAAACGTGAATCAACATGGCTATAAACATCACTGGTGTCTAACTGTAATTTCGGCTCACATAAAGCTGCTATACAGTTGTACATTGTAGTGCAAAAGCGCTTTGAGTGGTCGAAAGACGAGAAAGGCGCTATGCAAGTGCAGGTCCATTAACCATTTACCATTAGGGTTAAAGGCTAAATGTTGTGCTCGTGGGTCAATTAAAATAGCGCCGAATTAAAGAACAAATCATTCTGACTACAGGAACATCTGAGGTTTTGTGAATTAATGTATGAACATTTCTGGACAACCCGGTAAAAGTTAAATAAGAAGATATGTTAATGGGGCTCGGCATGCCCCTGGATGAATGAAGCAACCTGCTGTGCTGAGTGCGACCCGAGGCTGCGGGAGAACCTCCAGCTGTCTCCTCTGCCGCTCGATCTCCTGCCTGAAGCCCGAAGCCTCCTCCTCATACCCGGATACGATTCTGTCCACAGCCGCTAAAATCTCCCGGGAGGCGGCGGCGAGAGTCTCCGTCACAAAGCCCCGCAGGAGGTCTCCTTTAGACATTGTACTCAAACTTCAACACACACACACACACTCTTCATTTATTTATGGAAACACGTATTCACTCTTTTTATTGTTTACCAGCGGAACGCGTTTCCGGTTGTGGTGCGCGCATAAACGTCGTCCGTGTGGAAACCTGAGACAGTGGTTCCCTTTCCTCTGCAATAGTTATACTTGTGTATTTATTTTATAATTTAATGTGTAATGTGTAAGTGTTTAGTAACTTATTTTTTATTTGATTTACAAAAAAACACAACAAAGTTATTATAAAATAATTCAAATTTTAAAATGTTATAAAGTTTTCAGTTTTAAATATAATTATTTTGCAGATTTTCTGTATTTTTTTAAATGCATAAAAATATTATTAAAATCACAAACACATCCTTTGAATTTACTAATCTAATGTAAAATAATGTGAAAAATCTGTGACTGTAAATAATCATAAAATTACAATTTATTTAAAAAAAGTTAAAATATATTTGCAAACTTATCACTTTTTATTTAATACATTAAACTATTAAAATTAAAGTCTAATTGTCTAAATACAGTTCTAAAATTAGATAAACATAAGTGACAATTTCACTGTTATTTTACATTATTTATTTGGTGGAAAATTACATAAAAATACACAAACATATGTATCCCAGAATCCTTTGCACAATAGTCTCACTGTCTACATGTTGTTGTTGTTGTTAAATAAAATGGTAGATAAATAAATAGCTCGTAATAATAATACAAATAAATACTTTATCTTATTACAGATTAATCCATTTTTATATGTAAAAACATTTGTGGCCTATACATATTTATATTTGACTGTATATTTTTATATATGACAGCTGCTCATTTACTTTAATTTACTTTAATTAAAATAAACAATTTATATAATAATATAACAAAAAACTTAATAAAATAAAGATAAAATTAGATAAAAAATAAAAGTCATATTTCTATTTCTCCCAGAGCAACAGAAGTTATAGAAATGTTTTATTGATCAGAAACTAACCTTAAACTGTTGTTAACCGTCCTCGTTGTGATGGAAGAACTCCGTATAAAGTTTATAAACATTAAAACGTGTGAGAGCAGTTTTTATTCAATTATTGCAACGACAGACGACAAACACAAGAGGGCGCCGCTGCACAGAGCAACCAATGTTAAATACATCAAGGCAGAGAGAAATCAATAGTTCATCATTTACAATCGACACATTTATTTATATAAGTAACGAAGAAGAAGAAATCTCCTGGACGGCGGCCATTTTAAGTCACCTCAGACCTCGAGTCCATTTATTCCTGACTGTAAAGTTCAGCACTCCTCTTCCTCGTTCCTCGCTCCCTCCACCTTCTCTCTTTCTATTTTCACCGGCATGCTCGACTTCCTCGGCTTCTTCTTTGGCGTGGCGTCTGCTGACTCCCACCGCCACCGCTGCTGATTGGTCGGCGGGCTGTGGCGAGCTCCTCCTCCTCGTTCTCCTGTTGGGGCATCGCAGTCGAGTGATGCAGGTTGACAGTTGCAGGTTGCCGGGGTGATGAGGGCGGGCGCAGCGTGGTCGGTGCGCGGGTGTCGACCGCGTTCGGTTTTCTCCACCGCAGCAGGAACGACCAGGGGGACGAGGGAGGGAGGGGAGCCCGGCGGGGGAGCACTGCGAGCTGGGAGGAGAGGAGGAGGCGGGGCCATGTTGGATCTGTAGCTGGATCCACTCAGGCTGAAGATCTGGTTGGTGTTTTGGGGCAAAGATTGAGGAGAAGGAGGAGGGGAGTCGGCTTGAGGGGGCGTGTTGTCCCGGCAGCCATGTTGGAGGTTTAACCCGTTCCTCAGGGCGTGAACGCGTACTTGTGTGTGTGCGTCCTGTTGCCACATCGACCCGCTGATCTCTCTGCTCGTACGCGGGTGAGCGTCGTGTTTGCGAGCACTTTTGTCTTTGTGTGTCGGCGTTTCGGTGTTTGTGTTTCTGTGCGCGTCTCTGCCGCCGCCGCCGCCGGTGTGCAGCCGTGGGTTCGGGTTGGCGCTGTGTCGGTTGCGGCTGCGCAGCGAGCTGAAGACCATGGTGCAGCCCGCCACCGTGCAGCGGTGTTTGATCTTCAGGTGGACGGCGTTGTAGTGGATCTTCAGCGTCCCTACACAAACAGAAGGAGATTCCTTTCTGACAAACACGTCACAACTAGTAAAATTATTTAGTTTAATGTCTGCAGATCAGTAGAGGACCTTGAATTGAGCCCTGTGGAACTCCAAAATACAAGATCAGCACAGGACCTAAAGTTTTTATTTGATTTATATGCCTTTATTTGACCGGACGGCTGTAGATTGTCAAGGTAAGGACTACCAGTCTCTACCAGGTGAGCTACCACGCTCCCTGTACCTAAAGTTAAACTCTCTGGAGACTCAAGACAAAAGATTTGAACTGGAGACAGAAACTTTATTACCTTTGTCGTAGAAGCTTTTCCCACAAACGCCACAGCAGACCCGCCCTTTCCGACCTCCGGCAGGTGAAAGAGAGGGGAGGGAGCAGAGGGACGAGGGGAGAGGGTGGAGGGAGGAAGAAAAGGAAGAGGAGGTAGGAAGAGGACAGAGGAAGGAGGAGGAGAAGGATGGGAGAGGATTCAGAGAGTAGGAGGAGGAGCTTTGAATCTTCTGAGACATCTTCTGAGGAGAGGAGGAAACGGACGGATGACGTGAGGAAGAAGAAGCGATCAGTGAGGAGTTTAAGGAAGGAGAGAGCGAGGAGGTGTACTCCTGTTTCGCCACGCCCCCGTGAAGGTCAACCTCCTTGTCCTGATGCCATATCGACTGCGCTGGGTTCGGCTTGTCAGGGTCTGCTTTGATTTTTAAAGTCGGTTCACATTCGTTGTCTTGTCGACTTCGTTCCTGCCTGAGTCTGTCGGACTGTTTGTTTGCGCTGAGCTTCTGTAGACATTGTGTTACCTTACAGGGATCCTGATGAAAGAACAAAGAGGAGGTGATAAGAAATTTTGCTGGTTGTGGAACAAAGAAGGTTTGGACAGAAAGTAATTTAACTACCCTAGTGGGAGGAACCAAACAGGGAAAGTGGAAAGGCAGAAGCAGAGACTGGTGGACGGTGTCGTTGTGTTCAGCAGGAATCTTTTTCTTAAAACGACAGACGCCGGCGACTAAACGTGAATCTCCTCTCGTGCTCCTCAACGCTCCTCCGTTATGCTCGATGAACGCGTCGAAGTTTGACTGGCAGCTCTTTTGGTTCGGTTCTGGATCAGAGAGGCGACCGACAGCCGCCAGACACTGGAGCGTCATCAACTCCACGATGGGGCGTGTCTCGCCAAAGCGAAGGAACTGTTTGAGGATGAGCAGTTCTTCTTCGGTCGTCACCGTCAACCAGCGGTCCAACACCTTCCCACTGGGGAACTGGAGAGAAATGAACCTCAGAGGGAGCTGATGTGGGATCATAGCCGATATATATCATTATAAATAAAGCTTATGTTGATACGTTACCTGCAGCATGTATCCTCTAACGTAATCCCCCAAACTCCAGCCCAGAGTGTGCAGAATGTGGCTGACCTGAAGGAGAAAGAAAGTAATCTGTTACACATCAATCGTAGATAATAGACAATATAATAAACGTTCCTGGTACCTGTTCTGGAGTTAGGACGCTGTAGAGGCGGTCCAGAAGAATCTTTAGCCGAACTGGAATGGCCTGAGTTCCGTAAAGGACCAGGGAGCTCAGGTCGAACACCAGCCCAGGAAGGGCCACCTCCACTGGGCCGCAGCTGGACGGTTGCTGGGCCTGAAAATGGAGCTTCTCCAAAGCTGGAGAGGAAGAGAACGAATTATACCGACATCTCGTCGTACGGCTCACTGTTAACATTTACTTAAGTTTAATAAAGAACGTCTGAATATCACATATTATATAACTTGATAAAACAAAGAGCAAAGTTAAAAGTTAACTGATGTGTATCAGAGACACGGAGAGGATGTCAGTGTGTGTGTGTGTGTGTGTGTGTGTGTGGCGCGTGCAGATGTTCCCTCCAGATGTTCGTGGTGATGTGATGACAGCGACACCTGACTTCATGTCACCGTAGCGACTAAACACATCTGCAGTGTGTGTGTGTGTGTGTGTGTGTGTGTGTGCGCGTGCGTCTTACCGTGTACCACCCAGCTGTGTCCACAGCGATCACATGACCTGAGTTGGACACTTTCTGGTTTGAAGCTCACGCAGCTGCAGCCGGACACTGAACACCTGATGGACTGGTAGAGCAGATAAACACTGTTCATGTGTTCATTTTATAAAAGAGTTCAAATATAATGAAAACATAAATCATCTCTTACGATCCTCTACAGGTGCTGCCTGTACTTTATTAATTGTTATTATTTATTTTACAGAGTTCGTGGCTGCAGTTCCTCTAAGGGCTACTAGAGGCCCCAGCAGTGAGTCTCCATAAGGTCTCATATTAAAATGTCTTTAAATCAGAAGTAAACATGTTGTAGATCATTTCCCCCGTTAATAGCAACTGTACAACTCACCCTTTAAATTATATTAAGACTTTAAGTTATGAATAATTAACTGTTTTTAGTAACCAAGGTTGTGAACGTAACCATCGCTCTGTCTCTTCATTCATTCTCTTACTCGCTCAACCAAAACATGTGTTTACAAACAGAAACCGAGGATTCCCACTCGTTAATAACGTCGCCTTTAAAGGACACACACACTTATATAATATATATTATTTATATTATATTTTATATAAACTTATATTATATATAATATATAATCTAAATAATGTATAATACATAATATATAATATAAATAATATCTGTACCTCGTCGGTGTCTGGAGTCGTCCTCATCCTCTCCGTCTGCTGTCAGAACAAAAACATGAGTTCAGTTTTCTGATCAGTCAAATAAAACTGAATCTCCTCTTAATTGTAATCTGATTACTTTTTATGGATCTTTGTGATCAAACTCAGATAATCTGTAATTTCTTCTTTCACATAAAAAGTTTTTTAAATGTACTAATGTTAATTATTTACAATATAATTAATTAATTAAACACTGAAACCTCATTAAGATTCAAACATTTGTTACTTTTATTTATTTATTTTAGTTATTAGTGGTTGTTTGTTTATATAAACAAAGTGATGCC